TATAAAGCCAAGGAGGTAGTAGTAGAAAGAGGGCTGCAGTCGCTCTTCTTGGGATGAAGGAAAGAAAAGGATTTAGACCATGAGGAAAGGTTTAGCTAGAAGAGTGGGGAATGTGAGCCTGGGATAGGCAAGGTAGGAAGTAGTCCATAGGAGTGCTAGGAAGGTTTATGGTAGTATGGACCTTAGCTGCTGGCGATAGGGCCCTGGACTGGAACTCAGAGTAGAGGGTGGCCATGGGTTCCCCTACCAGACACTGAATAAGTGGCACAATCTGGACAGTGAACTTGAAGACTGTTTGGGTTTGTTTGCTCTAGTTACTGAGGGAGTGACTCAGCCAGGGCATTGGACTTAAGGACTGCCTGGGATGGCGAGGAAGACTGTGATAATCCCCTGGAAGGGGAGGCCTATTATGCCTTGGCTGTAAGACTTGGCTCCTGAAGAGCAAGCAGGGGGCCACAGAGCGAGAGAGTGAGATGACAGGCTGAGGAACTGTGAGAAGAGGATGTCGGGGTGCCAGAGCTAATCCCTAGACATGGCCAGAGGGAGGTGCCCCTGTGGTGAATAAAGGATCCTATGACACTGTCTTTAAACGTGGTTCAACAGCAGCTGCAGCAAAACTGGTCTAACAACAGTCTGGGTCGAGTCCATAAAAGGTTGGCAGAACCATATTCTAAATTGGTTTTGCTGCAATCTAATTTCAGCCATGCAGAAATGTGATTTTAAAAACACATTTCTGCAGCCACAAAAGAGAGCAACCTAGTGAAATTCTAGGTAATCTAACTTATCTTTTAGGTATTATAGTGTGTTCACTACTATGGTAACTGAAGACTTTTGAATGAGCATTCATTCCCCCAAATACCAGAATTTTAATTTTTTTTTTACATTGGGCTATGTGAGGATAGTTGCACAAACATCATTTTACACATGAGCATTTGTTTTTACTTTAAACAATAATGACTCCAGCTAAAACATCTTGCACAATATAGTGGAAAGGAGGAACTCTGCATATGGGATAAATATATTACTGGGTGGGGGCAATGGACGAAATACTTAGGCAGATTGGAGTGCATCTCATTTTCAAAAGAAAATGTTTTTTGAGAGGAGTCAGTCTTTGGTTCTACAAATCAATCTACAAAGTGTAAGAATATGCTGAATGTAAACTATGTTACAGTTTGTAAATGCATTCAACCATATTGTATTTTGGTTGGTAAATACAGTGTTCCATATGTGTAGACTGTGACAAAGCTCTGTCCTTGCCTCCGTGGGTCCTGCGTTTCCTGGCGGATTTCGCTAGCCTCAGAGGCTCATTATGACCCTCCATGTAACCCTTCTCTCTCTAGAGACAAGGGTCACAGTCTACTGAGCCATTTTCATCATAAGCCAGCGAGGGAGGTGAGGAGAAGTTATCCTTCCTTGCACAGTCTCTGTTGTCTCCCAGTCTCAGTGATTAATCAGGGGGCAAAGGTCGGGGGGGGGCCCAGGCCCACCCTCTACTCTGGGCTCCAGCCCAGGGACCCTAATAGTATCAGCTATGGTAGCTGACCTTTTAGAAACATAACATGTACAATTCCCTGGGCTACTTCCCCTCCAGCAGCCCTCACTTCCTCAAGCTCCACTTCACCCTTACTTCAGGGCCTCCTTCCTTGTGCCTGATATGGTGTGTACTACTCAGCCTCTCCAACAGCACAACTTCCTCCCACAGCTCCTGACATGCATACCCACCTGACTAACTGGGAGGCTTTTAACTAGTTTCAGCCAGCCCCTGATTGGCTTCAGGTGTCCCAATCACCCTAGCCTTCTTCCTGCCTTCTGGAAAGTTCTTAATTGGCCCCAGGTGTCTTAATTGATCTGGAGCAGCTGCCATTTCACTTATCCTGGTACCAGGGATTTGTTTAGCCTGGAGCTAATATATCTATCTCCCACTACTTTTCCATAGCCATCTGGCCTTGCCCCATCACAATACATTCATTCCCAGATTCCTGCTCTGGGCCAAACTCTCCTCTAAGTCAGTGCTTCTCAAGCTAACTGATGTGGGGGACCAGCAACTTTTTTTCCCAATGTGTGCGCAGACCGGCAGCCGATGGCTCGCGGACCGGCACCCGTCCGCAGACCACCACTTTGAGTAGCACTGCTCTAAGTGATACTGTTGCAACACCCAAATAGTTATACTGGTGTAACTGACAGGAGAACTTGTCCAAGTCATTTTACCCATTAAATAAATAAATAAAACCCGTTGTGCCTGCCTCATCAGGCATTTCTTGGCAGCTAATAATCAATTGTGTTAAATACTCCATCTCATCATTATTTTCCAGGAAGACTCAGGCCACAATGACCTCTTGGGGGTGGAGTAATTACTGGTTCATTTATTATCTTTTATACAGTAGTCTCAAATGAACAATATGTTTCCAGTCAAGAGAGAGATTGTAAACTTGCTGTCTTTTTATTTACTGCACTGTTATTACTAGCTTTCATTGCCAAGGAGGTCATGATAGTTCCTGGTAAGATTGCTTCTGAGAATAACATTCAGTGCTTTCTCAGAGCATGTTCTGGATGTTTTCAAGTTCAATGTTTGGCATACTGTCAATTGTATAATTACCAGTACATCATGGAAACGTATCAAAATACCATTTCAAAAATGTATATGCCCCTGATTCAGGAAAGCTTATACATAAGTCCATCTCTGTTCAGGGAAGAAATGCTTTGCATTTACACTCTGTTCCTGAAATAGGATGTTTTCCTGATTTGTGGACCATTGGAAAAGAAAAATTATCTTTTTGGGGAAAAGTAAAAAGTTTACAGTATGAAAATGTCAATTGGCTTAGGTCACCTGGATAGCATACAAAACACTGTACATTATTATAGTGAGGATGTGTGATACCGTGCTATTATAGTGAGCAATGGTGCTTCCAGCTTCAAATTACTCCTACTTGAATTCTAAATAGTTTGGATTCTATGTGGTCTTTGGAAGAATGTATTTTCTTTGATCTAGATCTCTTTTCAGCTGAAAATGGCTGGCAACATTAGTTCATTACTCAGCTTTGTCTGTGCAAGACTGATTGATAAAACCTTTCTGGTAGCTAAATTTGTTACCTGATACTTTCTTTTCTGGGAATGACCCAACCCCTAGCCCAAGCTTGGTTGTGCTGTCTCACTCTTCTTAGAATATTGGAGGCAGTTCAGACTTGTCCAGGGGTTTATTGGCTGTGCCCCGATCCAGACGAGTACTCCCAAAGCTGTAAGGAAACATTCCATTCTTATTAGTAGATTACATGTAATGTTTTAGGTAGTAATGCTTTTTAATCTGAAGAGATCACTTCACAGACACCTGAAGAACTTGTCTTAGGTGGGGAAGGCTAAGCAAATGGTTAGTCCAGAAAAGAAACAATCCTACTTTATTCACATTTACAGGTAATACATTTTCCATTCTGGATCCTGACCTCTCTCCCAGTCTCTAGATTAAGGCAATCCAGGGCCCTAGAGACACCATCATATGGGGCTGCTGTGGTGTTCCCCCACTTGGAATCTTAGAGACCAACTACATAAGCTACCTGCTGGACTGGTAGGTGGCCTGATACCACTTCTCTGTGTGCAGCCTAGGGTCCTCCTACTCCCTGGATAGGCTGTGGCAACAGCTGGGAGGAGACTCTTCCCCCTGGAGTAGGGGCTGAGTCCCCATTCCTTTCAAGAGCAGCAGGGGTAGTGGCAGAAGGATTCCCTCGCTTTCCAGAGAGGCAGAGGCCTTGGCATGGGGCTCCTTCTCCCTGCAAGACAACAGGCATTTGCTTCTTTCATCCTGCAAAGGACAAGAGTGGCAACAGGGGGTCATTAAGTACTTACCCGAAGAGCCAGGGTGTATCTGCTTTGGTGAATGTTTGGTGGGCCAGGCCTGCCACACAGTGCCCCTTTCAGGGTGGCCTTAGAGTTCACACCCCACTGAGAGGCAGGGGCAGTTCACATGTCTCAGAGCTATTATTTCAGGCAGTGTGCATACGAGGCAGACATCACTCTGGTAACACTTGGGTCACCACCTCAAACTTTCCGTGCAACCATGAGGGCTAGAAACGTACTTTTTTTCATGAAAGCTTAGATTCTGATGTAATAACATCGCTCTAGGAGAGTGGGTCTTGAGACTGCTGTATTCACATCTGTGGAGTTTTATACACGTTCATAGATAACCAAGTGGTAAGTTTGCAGACTTCCTCTGTAGTGGCTGCCACGCGTTTTGCCCAGGAGGCTGCTGTGCAATGCATTGAGTGGGCTCTGCATCCTTGTGGAACTGGTTTACCACTGACTTAGTGTGCTTCGGTGATACAGCTTTTTATCCACCTAGCTACAGAGGATTTGGATGCTTTCAAGCTTGTGCATTTAGGGCCTGATATTTGGATCAGGTGCAAGCACAGGAATCAGGAACCCATTTATAGGAGTTCTTTCCCCTCTATTTTCCCAAAACAGCTCTTGACTGTTGGGCAGTTTTTGTCTCAGGACACCTGTGAGAAGGACAAGCCATCCTTTTCTTTGACTAGATCACCTTGCATTGAAATCAGAAACTTAGGTATTGGCACTTGGACAGGTTGAATACCTAGGGGTATGTTGTGCTGGATTTGGCCTCTACTGTGAGGCAATTAAAAAAGAATAATGTAGTTAATAAAACGTTTATCTAGAACTACTTGGGAGTGCTTATTCCATTCTCATTGACAGAGTGGGATTTGGAGCTAATCAACTCATGTATTTGACTAGAAATGGAGAAGTAGGTTGTTAACTGAAGACTGTAATATGGGAAAGCAAACAGATGAGCACCCTGTAGCAATCATATGCTGACTAACTCTGTCAGCCTCCAATAAAGTACAGTGTTAGAAAATGTTTTGCAAAAGACCGTAGAGCATGCCCCCATATAATGCAATTCAAATTTCTGTTGATTAAAAGACTTTCAGTTTTGATTTTTTTTTAATTTGTAGTTCAGAAGGATTAAATTGATGAAATAACAGCTAATAACACTGATCTGATTGAATTATCCTTGTTATATGAAAATAATACAGTGTCTTGTTATTGAAGAATATAAAGTATTAAGTAAATCAGATACATAAATCAATCCGTGCAATCAGCAAACATTTTGAAAGGCCCATGCTATGTCCCTGTCTGTCTTACAAAGATTTGTTTTTTTGTATTACATTTTTTTGGCATGTGGAGATCACAAAAATCACAAATTCACAGTGTAGAAAATGTGTTAGAAATAAATTGGAAAATAACAGCTGATTTACCAAAACTGATGTTTCTTTAGAGTTCAGAATTTTAGTTTAAAAAAAAAAAATTGGTTTTCAGCATCAGAGCCTTTGCTTTTTGAACTGCAGTAGAACCTCACCAACTCATATTTCACTTATCCAAACACTTTATGACTCTCACACAAACCCTGGCATTCTAGCCCTCCTTCTCAGCAAAGATTTAATACAGTGCTGTAGTGGAGTTGTACGCTACCAGGGTCTCCTTTCACAAAATATACTACAGTATATTTACTACTCACTAGCAAATTAATCATAAATTAAAATACTAAAAGTCAAAACAATGCACAAAATACGGTGTGTGATACATTATCCTTGCTTTTTAAATTGTTTAATCATTAACAGTCTAGTTGTCATCAGCTTTCATTAATGTGAATTAGCGAGGTTCTACTGTATAGTTATCTTGTAATAAAAAGCTTCGAAATATTTCCATCTATGTGTTTGAGGCCAGCAAGATGAGCTAATTTTCACTGTCTGATTTGCTGGAAGATTTCTTAAAGTATTCCACTGTGAGAGTAGACCCCTTCTGACTTGGGATAGCAGGCAGGACACGGCTTGTTCTGAGAGACTCCCCTGATACAACAGGTAAGAAGGAATGCAGTGAATGACTTTGAGAAAGTCCTCCTCTCTGGGATTTGGAGGTAAGTGCTGGTGGGAGAATAGTTGTGCCAGTCCTTAAGGAGTTTAAAGACAGAGACTTTGACTTCTTGACACCATGAGAAACTTCAGTAGGTGGTAGCTGGACTGAGGAAAAAAGAGAAAGAGTGCCCAGAAAGTCAGAAACAAATTCTATAATTTGTCAGTTTGTCACTTTCTTATTCTTGTACGTTTATCTTGTATCATGTGCACTTAAATTGAATCCATGAAATTTAGAAACAGTATAGAAAATGAGCAAAGAATTACTAAAGTAATTTAAAACACACTCTGGCAGAACTAATCATGTGTGAAAATACTTTTCTTTGTAATAACCAAGCAAACAACAAAATGACAGATGATTTACAAGGAGTTTTCAGTGATCTGTGAGCCTGCATAGCTTCACTTTTGTTAATCACTGAAACACACGGATACGTGTCCAAAACTTATCTGAACATGAATCTTCATGACTCCCTCCCTTCCTTGGGCAGTTCTTCAGTTCTTTGCTCCTTCCTCACAACCCACCTGATGGGGAGATTCTCTGCACAAGTTTAAGTAAATTCTACAAGCCAACAAGGAGGAGATTCTCTCTTAATCTGATGTAAATCTTGTGTAATGCCACTGAAAACAATAGAATTAATCCAGATGTAGATTGATTGATTGACTAGGGGTTACCAAATGAAATTAATAGGCAGCAGGTTTAAAACAAATAAAAGGAAGTATTTCTTAACACAGTCAACCTGTAGAACTCTTTGCCAGAGGATGTTGTGAAGGCCAAGACTATAACAGAGTTCAAAAAAGAACTAGATAAATTCATGGAGGATTGGTCCATCAGGGGCTATCAGCCAGTATAGGCAGGGATGGTGTCTCTAGCCTCTGTTTGCCAGAAGCTGGGCATGAGTGACAGGGAATTGATCACATGATGATTACCTGTTCTGTTCATTCCCTCTGGGGCACCTGGCATTGGCCACCATCGGAAGACAGGATATTGGGCTGGATGGACCTTTGATCTGACCCAGTATTGCCATTCTTACGTTCTTATGATTTAATAGAGGAGAATTTGGAGCAATTTTTGTTAGAATCAACAGGTAACATCCTTAGCTGGTGTCAGTTGAGTATCTTCACTGAAGTCACTGGAGCTATGCCAATTTATATCTGCTGAGGATCTTGTCCTACAAGTCCACTTTAAACAATCTGAATTTACCTGGTAAGAGTAGATTTGCTGTATACGGAACACTGTAGAATCCATATTTACCGATTAATTATACCGTTAGAAAGAATAGCAGGTAAAAAATGTGCAGACAGAAGAGTGGCCTGTTTGTTACACATCTAAATCTGTTTTTATTTAGGATATTTTAATAGGTTTACAAATCCTAGCCATATAAATATCAGAGACAAATGCAATAACCGTTACGACAGTGAGCTTTGGTTTGGAGAAACATGTAATTGTTGGAGCTCTCCACTTAACATAGTGCTACCATGTTACAGAGTGAGCATCTTTACACTACCCATGACATGTTGTTGTCTAGTGATTTATTGAATTATATTTAACAAACCAGGTATGTCTACAGAATGTTAATATAAAAAATTAACTGGTGTGCTTTTTTTGTAGAGGTGAATGTACTCTAAATGGTAACCAGTATCTAAATGTCCCATAATTTGTGACATGTTGGTTACAAACTGCACGCCAGTACTCTTTAATGACTGGACATGTCCACCACAATTTCTTCAACATTTATCCCCATTCAATCTATAAATATTCTTTAACCTGACTGGTGCGAGCGACCATTGAAGCAGTATCGGAAAGACCCAGTGTTTGGCTGGGTTAGAGTGCTCTCAGTCCACCACTGCAGGGGCAGGCAAACTTTTTGGCCTGAGGTCTGCATTGGGTTTCAGAAATTGCATGGAGAGCCGGTTAGGGGAGGCTCTGCCTCCCCAAACAGCCAGGCATGACAGGCAGCCGCATCTCCCAGCTGGAGCCAGCCATGCACCCCACAGCACAGAGCCTGGGTCAGGCCGGGCTCTGCAGCTGTGCTGCCCCAAGAGCTCGCAGCCCCACCGCCCAGAGCATTGCGCTGGCGGTGCAGTGAACTGAGCCTACAGGGAACAGCAGGGGAGGGGCTGGGGGCTAGCCTCCCAGGCCAGGAGTTCAGGGGCTGGGAAGAATGGTCCCATGGGCTGGATGTAGCCCATGGTCCATAGTTTGTCCACCTCTGCACTACTGCTTTGAGCGGGCTGCCTTGGTAGTGTCACAGAATATTTGTAATAGCTAATCCACCTTGTTCAATGGGAGTAAAGAAAGTATCTGCACTTATACTTGGTCTTTTCTTATTCCATATACATTCTAACACCATCCTCTGTATTTCTGCTAGGCTTTTTATCTGGATGATTTCAAGAAGACTTTGAAAAAAGAAAGATATCCTTGGCAAAATGTTCATTTTGACTGTGACTATTTCTCCCAACCAAGAAATGGCATACTTCCCCCAGGACTCCAAATCTCTTTTCATTTGCTGAAGTAGAGATTTGACATTTAAATTATAAAGCTCTTCTAGGTTGTTTGAGATGTGAATTCCCAGGTATCTTTGTGAGTCTTTCTTTAGGTGCCCAAAATCACAAGCCACTGTTACCCCACTACTTCTGTGAGCGAGCGCTTTACTGGAACTTAAACTGCATGTGTCCTCTCCTTGCCACACCATGCTACCTGTCTCACCAGCAAATTCCTTGAGACTCTGCCAGTCTTAACCTTGTGTGATAGGTGGCACTCACTGGCAGTGTCATCAAGTGGTTAGGATGCTAGGTCTCTATTTGCCCCACTTCCAGTGTCTCCCACTGGCTATGGTCATGTCCTGTGGTGGTCTGCCTTCTGATGGGTGCCCATCCGACCCTCTGGTCATGTCATCCATAGCTGCAGATCATCCAGGGGACTGGGCTTGGTATTCAGTACCCCAGAGGGCATTCCCCCCGCTGGGCCATAGATCCGTAGTCTGTGATCCTCTGGAATGAGCTTATTGAGGCCTCAGTGTTCCAGTGGCCAGGCATGTGGTCACCATATAATTTTCTGACAGCATTATTCCATCAGCCAGCGTCTCAGGCTTGTGTCAGAACACTCACCCATGTCTGCCAGCTGGGAGAATCTGCATGAATTGCTTGAGTGTGACTTGCTCAACTGGAGCCACAGCCAACAATGTTCTTTAAGGCTCTGAGCCACTGCTTGAGGCTGGGGTCCCGGTGAAAAGTGCTTCTGGTGGGTCTCGGCCATGATATCAAAGATGTCTAAAATGGCTGCCTTGACATGCATAGTCTTGCACATCCGTGGCATCAAGGTTCTGATATGCTGCTTGAGCTGTCCTGGTAAGATAAAGTACTGGCGAAACAGCCCAGTGTTCAGATGGCTATTGAGCTGCTGCCGCGATCTTCTCCAAAGTAGTAAGGAAAGCATCAGCGTTGTCCCCAGACACCTTACCAGAAGGTTTGGGGTTGGGGTGGGGTTTGTGGGCCTGACCACAAGATTTGCGCTTGCCCCTAGTGGTTGTGAAAGGGTCACCAGCTGCTGGAGCAGGTGTTGTGGCTGCTCTAACTGTTGTGCCATCAGCTCCCGGTTGAGCTGCTGCTGTCGTGCTGCTCACCTCTGTTGCTGGGTAGCCATTTATGTTGGAACAGCTGGTTCTGTGAATTCTGGCTGTCCACCAGCCACTTCAACAGTTTGTCTATATCCATGATTTTTTTTTTTCTTCCAAGGCTTTACTGCAGACCTCTGATGAGTGCCCACCTTCTCCATCAAGTTAGAATCGTAGAATCATAGAATATCAGGGTTGGAAGGGACCCCAGAAGGTCATCTAGTCCAACCCCCTGCTCGAAGCAGGACCAATTCCCAGTTAAATCATCCCAGCCAGGGCTTTGTCAAGCCTGACCTTAAAAACCTCTACGGAAGGAGATTCCACCACCTCCCTAGGTAACGCATTCCAGTGTTTCACCACCCTCCTAGTGAAAAAGTTTTTCCTAATATCCAATCTAAACCTCCCCCACTGCAACTTGAGACCATTACTCCTCGTTCTGTCATCTGCTACCATTGAGAACAGTCTAGAGCCATCCTCTTTGGAACCCCCTTTCAGGTAGGTGAAAGCAGCTATCAAATCCCCCCTCATTCTTCTCTTCTGCAGGCTAAACAATCCCAGTTCCCTCAGCCTCTCCTCATAACTCATGTGTTCCAGACCCCTAATCATTTTTGTTGCCCTTCGCTGGACTCTCTCCAATTTATCCACGTCCTTCTTGAAGTGTGGGGCCCAAAACTGGACACGGTACTCCAGATGAGGCCTCACCAATGTCGAATAGAGGGAAACGATCACGTCCCTCGATCTGCTCGCTATGCCCCTACTTATACATCCCAACATGCCATTGGCCTTCTTGGCAACAAGGGCACACTGCTGACTCATATCCAGCTTCTCGTCCACTGTTACCCCAGTTGCGAAGGGTGGCTCACTGGTGATGTTGCCTAGTGGTTAAGACAGTAGGTCTTTACTTACTTTGCCTCCAAAGTCTCCCACTGGCTACTGTCATGTCCTGGGGAGGCCTGCCTTTTGGTGAGTGTTAATCTGACCTTCTGGCCAGGTCACCAATTAGCTGTAACCCTCTGTGGGGGAACAGAGCCTCAAGGAAGATATTGGGCCCCACATCCCCATGAAGGGGTGATGGGGAGATGATCTTCAGTCTGTTTAGTGACTCCTGGGGGTGTCGAGTTCCAGCTAGGCAGTTTGCAAAGTCTTTACCCTCTCTGGCTTTCCCCAAGGGGGAGTCTGGAAGAGAGGGTTTTTGTGCCCCCCGTAACAAGGTGGTTGGAAGGGGAGCATGGGCCCTCCCCCTCCACTGGGCTCTGGCACCCAGGAGTACCTTAAGGCTGCCTCTGGGATCACTTCTTATCACTCGCTTACCCTGAAAAGTCTTACAGTTTGTCACAGTAGCAAAGGAAAGGAGAATAATTGAAATTTCTGCCCCTCCGGGCTCAGCAGGCAGGGTTTTTCTCCCAGGGAAAAGTTTTTGTAGCATCCTTCAGAAGCTTTTAGGGTAGGTGTCTCTCCCTGTCCTGTCAGGCCTCTTCTGAACTGTCTGGCTCC